AGGGGCCTACAGGAGCCCAAGGACTGCTGGGCCAGGACAGGAGGCTGGACAGGCTGGCAGGGAGCCGGGCTCCGGGGATCGGGCTGGGGTGTCCTCTGGGGCTGGGGGGCTCAGGTTTCTGCCTGCGGCTTGGCGGGTGTGGGGTTACCAGGCGGCTCGGTTACCCAGCCTGAGACGCTCGGCTGGGGGGAGGGGGTGGGCACCGGGCAGACCCTGGCACCTTATGCCGGCTCCTCCGGCCCTGAGGGGAGAGGGCATTGCCTAGGCAGGTCCCACTTAGAGCCCTGACGGTGGGGGTCTGTCCTGGTACCGTCGCCTGGCCCAGGGTGGGTACCCTCCGGGGAAAGCCCAGCAGTTCCAGGGCTGGAAATTCCGACGGGCAGAGAGGCCTAGGTTGTCCCCCCCACCCCACCCCACATCCGCTCTCTCCGCACCAGCCCCCCCCCCCGCACCGCCACCATCCTCCCCAGCTGGCCCCCAAATTTCGGTCCTGTGCTTCTTCTAGAAGGGTGGCATGGATCCCCTGAGTGCGGCCATCCTATGGCAAGACCAGGCCTTGGAAGGCAGGCCTGGCTCCGTGACTCGATTCCCCAGGGCCCTCTCTCTATCGGCCAGCCTGGGCAGAAGAGAGCAGATGCTCGGAGCAGGGTGGGATGGAGGACGAGGGAGAGGCTGGAGTGGAGACCTGAGGGTAAAGGAAGGAGCGGGCAGGGCGGCTCCTGGGGGCCAAGGGCGAGGAGGCGGGAGGCTGGCCAGGGCTGAAGGAGGGACAGCAAGGATGCGTGGCGGAGCAGGCACAGGGTGGGCTGGTCAGCAAGGGGACTGGAAGGGGAGGCCAAGGATGGGGGCCCCAGGCATGGGGCAGGGGTCCCCAAAGGTGAAGGAGGAAGGCTGGGGAAGGGAATTGCCCCCCTTCCCTCCTCTGCCATCGTCCCTCACACCCCCCAGTGTGGCCTGCAGGGCGGGGGCCATGGGCTAGAGCGGGTGTCAGGGAAAGAAATGTGGAGGGGCACTGAGACCTCTCTCGTTTCAGGGAGCACCAAGAATTGGGGATTTTGAGGGAGGAGAGGCTTAACCCCCACGGCACCGGGAAGCAGCCAACTCCCCTGGCCTCCTTCCCCCTTCGTGGCTTGCGGTCTCCCTTCCCCGCCTGGCCCCCAGGAAGTGTGAGTGCTGGGGGTGGTGAGGTTAGGAGGGGGGAAGCAGCATGTGGGGGATGGGCAGGGCACGCACTTGCTCTGAGGGGCTGGGGTGTGGACCCATGGGCTCTGTAGGCGCCAGGGCATCCCTGGGCCCGGGGCTTTACCTTCCAGGCCCGTACCGTCCTTCAGGGAACTCCCTCAGCCCCTGATCCCGCCTTCCCGACTGGGCAGTCCAGGTGGCTCCAGCCCCTGGGCTCCAGAGGCCCTGGAAAGAGGAGGAGAGCTGGGGAGCCAGGATTCCTGGGTCCCTGAGGACTTTGGACCGGCTGTCCCACTTCCCTACCTCCCTGGTCCGGCCACTGTCCGAAGCCCGCTGCTGCGTGCAAACCGAGCTCCAAAAAAACAGGAAGAGAACCTGAGGCTGGAGTTGGGGCGGGAGGCAGAAAGGAGAAAGAAGTGGGGGGGTGGCTAGCCAAAATGGGGGGTGGGCGCTGGGGAGCGCCCCAGGCCCCCATCACCTGGAAGGGGGATGTCACAAGCTGACCTCACCCTCCCTCACCCTGAGCAGCTGCACCTGCAGAAGCCTTTTGGGTGGGGGGTGTCTGGGTGCCTGTGTCTCAGCCTCATACCTGTTCTCTCTGTGCTAATCCCAGCTCCGCCCACTGCCCCCCACACTAAGCCTCACTCCCCTAATCCCCAGGGTGTGGGGAAGGGGGGCCAGCTTCACTCATCTGCTCCTTGGGGGCCGGATCCCTGCCGCATCCCTGTGTCAGGGCTCAGGTGCCCCCCGGGACACTGTCAGAGGTCAGCACCTGGAAAGACTTCCGGGCTCCTTTCCCTTCCCGGTCAAGGCCAGTGCTCTCCACCTTTTGTATCTTGGCTGAGGACACACCCCGCAGGTGCCCCAGGACACTGAGGAGTTGGGGGTTTAGGGGATCCTACCTTTGTCCCCTCCCTGCCTTTCCCACCCAGAGTCTTCCCCCCACCAAAGATGGGGCAGGCTTGACTCAGGGCCCAGTTTCAAGAGAGCTGCCCACCTGCCTGGCCGGTCTAGCAGGCCTGACAGTGAGGGGAGCCTGGGGGGGTGGCGGGAAAGGGGGAGCGATGGGGCGGGGCCCCCAGTTCTTCCCCCTACCAGGCAAACAAACCAAACAGACCTTGCCTGGTTCCCTGGCACAGCCGCCCCCCCCCACCACACACACACACCCATGCCCACAAGGCCTTAGCAAGAGGGGGCATGCCAGGCTGGGTGGGGATGGGCCGCCCTTATGGGGCGTCAGGGGGCTGGGCCCTTGGGGATGCAGATGTGGGAAGGGTGCCCAAGGTGGGGTGGGCATCCTGGCACTGGTGCCCCGCCCCCTAGATGATGAGGCTGTGAGTGCCCCCTCGGCCTGGTTGGCACCAGCATTGTTCTAGGCGGCATCTAAGTTGGCCTGGGCGCCAGAGCCCTGGGTAAGGGCTGGGGGAGTTTCCCAGAAGCTAGAGAACCTTAGAGCACCTCCCCTTCCTACGAGTGTCCTCTGCCTCTCCCCTCCTTCGCTGCTACCTCCTGGCCATGGGTACTGGACTTGGGCCTAAGGGGTTAAACACCCACCCTTGCCCAAGCACCCGGTGTGAGTTGCGAGCACTGAAGCAGCCTAAGCCCGTGACCTGACAGCAGGGTCAGCCAATCAGCACCCTGCCACGCCGAGTTGCCGCGGAGACCGGCCCTGGGGTGGGAGCGAGGAGGCGGGCCTAGCGGCAGGAATGGGCGGGGTGGGGAGGGAAGGAGGGAGAGGGCTGGGGCCAGCCACGTGCCTGCGGGTGCCCAGCTCCAGGCCAATGGACAGCGAGGACAGCCCCACCCATCCCCCTCGGGAGGGACGGGATCCGCCTGGGCGCAGGAGGGTGCCCGCTGCCTCCACTGCCCACCCGGCCTTTGCTTGTTCCCAAGTCCTGGGACCATTTGCCACTTGCTGTTGTGAAGTGTGGGCAGGGAAGCAAAGCGAGCTGGGGTGGCTCCCAGGGAGAGAAGTGGCTTGGGAACGCCAGGTGGGAGCAGAGGGCTTGCTGAAGGCACCTGGGTGTCTAGACCGGAGAGGGGAGACACGTGGGTGCTGCTCCCCGAGGGTGCCCTGCAGGAGTCCTGGCGTCACAGGGAAGGTGACAGGCAGAGACAATGCGGTTCTTGTGTTCCCAAGGGGAAATCTGTGGCTCTTGACCCCCCCCAGCTCCCCGAAAAAACCTTTTCCCTCCGCGGTGGGGCTGAGCAGCTGTTGGGAGTAGCAAAGAAGACACTGACCAGGGTGAGTGGGACCCGCCCTCGGGGCCACGTCGGTCAGCCTTTCCTATTACAGAGGAGGAAACCGGCTTCCTGGGGAGAGGAAGTGACTGATCCAAGGTCATGTAGCTCATAGTAACTTGACTCTTTGGGGCGATTTGAGGCAGGGAGACCCAGCTGTCCCCAAGCCTTCCCAGGAGAGGCCATTTGTGGAATCTGCCCCGGGCGAGGCCTCATTCCTACCTCCCAAGGCCAGAATGTTTATTGCACCCCCCCACGTGGTCTCATTTAGCCGATGTCCCCACAGGCCTTCGGGTCGGGTGGAATTACCCGTAGAGTAGACTAGGAAGGAGGCTCAGAGACGGGTGTGTTTAAAGTCGAAGAACTCAGAGCCATAGGGCAGGTTTCCCTCTCAGGCAGCAGACTTCAGAGCCCCTTTCCTTCCAGGCCCCCCATCTCCACTTGCTTCAGACCCACCGCCCAGTGTCAGGCCCGAAGGGTGAGCTCCTGGGACCTCTGCTCCCACCCGCTCCTTGTACAGCCCCGGAAACACACGCCCAACAGAAGGGACTGTCCCAAGGTCATTCGGCAACCTGGCAGCAAACCCAGGACTCAGGCAGCGCTCCTCACTCCCAGGCCAGGCCCACCTGCCGCCCTCCTGTCCCCCCACCAGCCTTGGGGTGCTGGGGTGCTGCAGTGCCTCCCTTGGAGGGGAGAGCACCATCGGTAGAAGATAACCCTCTGGGCCTGGCGCTCTCCACTCTCCCAAAGGGCCACAGACGGGGAGGGAGAGGTGTGGAGGGAGAGGTGCCGTGGCAGCTGCGGTGGGGAGGGGTGGAACTGGAACTTGGCCTATTGGCAGTGGGGGAGGGGGCGGGGATGATGCTTATCTGTGCGGGGCAGGAAGCACCAGAGCCAGGCCTCGACACCCCAGCAAAGGGTGGCTGCTCCTTGGCCCCCTGGGGGAGGGGAGGATGTGGGGGGAGGGATGCTGGGAGCAGTGTTTCCCTTTTGGCCTGGGGGGGGGCGGCGAAATCTAAAAGGGGAGATGAACTTTTAGCGGGTGGGGGAGGGGAGGAGGAGGAGGGTGAAGGTGAAGGTGCTGGGAAGCTGCCTGGCGAGTTTGCAGAGCCTCCGTGGAGCCCTGGACCCTCGTGGGGTCACTTGGGTGGAAGTGCCCGGAGCAGACCTTGGTACAGTGCGAATCTTAGCTCTGTCCTTGGCCTCGCTAGTGCCATCAGAGGCTGTCACCCCACTTCTCAGGTGACTGAGCCCCGAGTCCTTCATGAAGCCTGGGCCAGGACCCCAGAGCTCCCTCCAAAGGCAGGGGGAGTGAGGCGGGCGAAGCAGGTGGGGCGGCCAGGGCAGCTGGGAACAGGACTGTGGGCCCGCCGCCTGGGTCTGAACGCCCTTCTGCCCCTCAGAAGTTGGAAAGTCGCTTCCCCTGTCTGCGCCTTGGGTCCCCTGCCGGTGAGAGGACTGCTTCTCAGTCCGGGGAGGCTTTGGGTCGGAAGCACTTGGGAGCCGAGCTGACAGTCTGCCGGCACAGGAAGTGCGGGCCGAGAGCCTTTCACCTGCCCCTGTCCTCCACCCCGCAGAACAAGATGGGGAGCCCCGAGGACGACCTCATCGGGATCCCATTCCCGGACCACAGCAGCGAGCTCCTGAGCTGCCTCAATGAGCAGCGGCAGCTGGGCCACCTGTGCGACCTCACCATCCGGACACAGGGCCTCGAGTACCGCACCCACCGGGCTGTGCTGGCCGCCTGCAGCCACTACTTCAAGAAGCTCTTCACTGAGGGCGGCGGTGCGGTGCCAGGGGCAGGGGGCGGTGGCGCAGCGGTGGGGGCCGCCGGGGCCGGCGTATGCGAACTGGACTTCGTGGGGCCCGAGGCCCTGGGTGCCCTGCTGGAGTTCGCCTACACGGCCACGCTGACCACCAGCAGCGCCAACATGCCCGCCGTGCTGCAGGCCGCCCGGCTGCTGGAGATCCCGTGCGTCATCGCGGCCTGCATGGAGATCCTGCAAGGCAGTGGGCTGGAGGCCCCCAGCCCCGACGAGGACGACTGCGAGCGGGCCCGCCAGTACCTGGAGGCCTTCGCCACGGCCACGGCCACGGCCTCGGCCTCCTCGGGAGTTCCCAACGGAGAAGACAGACCGCCCCAGGGGCCCCTCCCGCCCCCGCCCCAGCCCACGCCACGGCCAGTGGCCCGCCGCAGCCGCAAGCCCCGGAAAGCTTTCCTGCAGACCAAGGGGGCCCGGGCAAACCACTTAGTGCCCGAGGCACCCACGGTACCCGCCCACCCCACGACCTATGAGGAGGAGGAGGTGGCGGGGGGCAGAGTGGGCAGCAGCACAGGCAGCGGGCTGGGGGACAGCTACAGCCCTCCAGCGGGGACTGCTTCACCCCCCGAGGGGCCCCTGACTTACGAGCCCTATGAGGGTGATGAGGAAGAAGAGGAGCTGGTGTACCCTTCTGCCTACGGGATGGCGCAGGGAGGGGGACCCCCGCTGTCCCCAGAGGAGCTGGGCTCGGACGAGGACACCATTGACCCTGACCTGATGGCCTACCTGAGTTCGCTGCACCAGGACGCTCTGGCCCCAGGCCTGGATGGCCAGGACAAGCTGGTGCGCAAGCGCCGCTCCCAGATGCCACAGGAGTGCCCAGTCTGCCACAAGATCATCCACGGGGCCGGCAAGCTGCCGCGCCACATGAGGACCCACACGGGGGAGAAGCCGTTTGCCTGTGAGGTCTGCGGCGTCCGCTTCACCCGGTGAGCACTAGGGGGCTGGAGACCCAGCAGGGGGGTCCCCGCCCAGAATACTGGGGGTGTGGAGGTCCCTAGAGCCACTGGAGACACCCAGATTGGGAGGCCGGGAGAAAGAAAGCCGAGGGAGGTGTGTTTGGCTCAGGACAGCTTTGGGGTTGGAAGCCCTGGAGGGGGTGGTGGCGCTGCTCACCTGCGGGGAGGGGGGGTGGGGAGGGGGGCTGTCGGGAGGGGGTGGTCCCGGGCCTGACCGGCACCCCTCCCCCTGCCCGCCAGGAACGACAAGCTGAAGATCCACATGCGGAAGCACACGGGAGAGCGCCCCTACTCTTGCCCGCACTGCCCAGCCCGCTTCCTGCACAGCTATGACCTCAAGAACCACATGCACCTGCACACGGGGGACCGGCCCTACGAGTGCCACCTGTGCCACAAGGCTTTCGCCAAGGAGGACCACCTGCAGCGCCACCTCAAGGGCCAGAACTGCCTGGAGGTGCGCACCCGGCGGCGCCGCAAGGACGACGCGCCCCCGCACTACCCGCCCCCCTCCGCCGCTGCCCCGGCCACCGCGGGCCTCGACCTCTCCAATGGCCACTTGAACACCTTCCGCCTCTCTCTGGCTCGGTTCTGGGAGCAGTCAGCCCCGCCTGGGCCCCCGGTCTCCACCCTGGGCCCCCCTGATGATGAGGAGGAGGAGGGGGCACCCAGGACGCCTAAGGCTGAAGGTACCATGGAGTCCTCTTAAAGAGGGCCGGTGGCCGTCCCCAGCAGCACGCGGCCCGGGCGCCCATGCCAAGCAGTGGGGGCACGCGGGCTGGACAGGGCTGGGGTCCGGGCGCTGGCCTCCCTGGCTTCAGCAGTCCGCCCCTGTCGCCCCAGAGCCCTCATTCCAGTTCCAAGCTGAGAAGGCTTTGGGGTCGGGGGCTCCCCAGATTGGGGTGAACTCCTAAGGAGTGATCCCCGATAGTACGTCTCCATTTCCAGCTGTTTGTTGTGAACGGTGGGGCCCTGTCTATCCCCGGCCGCTCCTGGGGAGTAGAAGCAATAATGTATTTCTGATTTGTGGGGTCCCTCTTCGGCTATGCGGGTTTCTAGGGGGTGGGGGGCTTGGGACCAAAGCCTCGCCCCGCCCCCATGCCCCCAGGGGTTTGGCGGAGTCCGGGGGTGAAGGACCGCCCCTCCCTCCCCTTCTGAGACCCCCTCCTTCCTGCTTTCTGTTCCCTTTCCCCGGCAGAGAATTATGCAAAGGGGGCGGCGAGGAAGGGTGGGTGGGGGGAAGCGAGGTAGAGGCTGGAAAGCCTCGGGGATTGGGCCCGCCGGAAGGAGCCATCCTCGCGCCCCCACCCGCACCCCACCCCCACCCGCACCCTCACCTACCCCCACTCCCCACCCCCCACCCCCGCCAGGCTCGGAGCGCTGAGTCACGGGGTCCTGGAGGAGCAGGGGGCGGGGTGGCCTGAGTGGCTCGCCCGCCCCTGGGGGCAGCGGGAGGGGCCGCTCCGCTCGGCTCTCCGCCCCGGCCCTGCCCTCCCCTCCCGCGTCCCCGGGCAGGGAATGTCTTGTTCCCGCCGCTCCCTCCCCGGGGCCAGAGGGCAGGGCGGGCCGGGTGGCTCCTAGCCTCCTCTCCTCCTCCCGCCCAGGTGCGAGCCGGAGCCGCCGCCGGGCGGCCCCTGACTCACGCCGCCCCCAGGCTGGCGCGGCGCGGGCTGCGGGACGGGGTGAGGGGCTGCGGGCTGCGGAGCGCGCGGGCGGGCGGGCGCCCCCTGGCGGCCGTTCCCGCGAGCCGCGGGCGCCCGGGCGGGGGTGAGGGCGCCGGCCCGGGAAGGCGCGGGAGGTGGGGGGGTCCCTTGCCGGCCCGGGCCCCGCTGGGTCGCGGAGTGACCCCCACTGTTCCCTTAGGACGGAGTCCGCCCGGGTCTGTACATAGCCTCTTCTGTCGGTCTCGATGAAATCTAGTTTCAGATTTTTAACTACCCGATTCTGCTGGAGGGGGTGTCCGCCCCCTCCCTTGCTGGGTGCTCCCCCCCCCCGTTGCGGCCTGGGCTCTGCCTTGCACTATTTCCCCTCCCTGGCCTGGCGGCCCCTCCCCCTTCCTAAAAGGGGCAGGTTAAGGGGCCCGGTGCTCTGCCTTCCTCCCCTGCACCCTCATGCCCATTTGCACAGCTGCCCAGGTACCCCCAGGAGTGAGGGGGTGTCACAGGGAGGGGGTAGCGGGACCAGTCCCTGTATCTATTTAAAAAGTGATGATGTAATATATTGGGGTTGGGGGAGGTCGGGTTGCCCTGGGCCTCATCTTAGCATTTCAGGTGATGGGGGAGACCTGGGGCCCAGCCCCAGAGAGTGAGGACAATGTGACCTCCCCCCTCCCCCCTTGCGGCTTCTCCACTCAGTGCCTTAGGGGGGGAGGCAATTTCCCCCCCTCCTCTTCCCCTCCTCTTCCCCTGCCCCCACCTCGGGTGTAAACGACAGGAAGAAATAATAATTTAAGACTCACACCGTGTCTGCCTTTGGTTCCTTCATTTTGGGGGTAGGTGGGAGGGATCAGGGGAGGGAGAAAAGAGACGGAGAGGCCGGGCTTCTGGAGCTGGAGGGGGACTGCTGTGGGGCAGAGGGTTTGGGCGGCCGTCTGTCCGAGGAGGGGCAGAGGCAGGGTGGGAACCCTGAAAGACTGGGCATCCGGTAGGAGCTGCTGTGTGTCTCTGCGGAGGCCCCTTCTCCTCATCCAGGTCACTAGTGAGGAGGGCAAGGGAGTGGCACAGTCAGGGATGCCGTTTCCACAGGTGCCCTCCTGCCCTGTCCAGACCAGCCTCCGCTGCTCCCACGGTCCCCACAGGATCTCAGCCTGTGGCTCGAGAGCCCCAGTTTTAGGCTGGTGCTGAGGGACCAGTGGGCAATCCCTTACCCAAGGTCACATGGCCAATAAGGACAGAACCAGTCGTGATCTTGGTGGTACACCTACACGGTCAGGGATCAAGCTTCCCTCATCCCCACGACCCCGCTTTTAAGTTCAGTGAGCCCCCAGGAACCTCTGAAAATAAAGCTTCACTTCCTCCCCAGCCCCTCAGCTTACCGTTCCCCCTGCCTGTTCACGCCAGCACGTGCCCATCGCTCCCCCCCCCCCTGCCCCGCCCCCCCCCCCCCCCGTTCCCACCAGCCCGTGCCCACTGCGATTTGTATGCCTCCCAAATGAAGGCTGCTTGTCTTTCTCAAACCTGCTGGCACATGGGACATTGCAGAGGTCCTGCCAGTGGCACCTGCCCCCCGGGGCCACAGCTATCTCCCCAGACATCTGCTGCACCCACCCAGGGGGCCAAGACCAGACCAACTGCTTATGTGGCCCCCACCCTCCTCACTGGGGACACCCCCCACCTCTCTAGCCTTCCAATCCTTGACCTCATGGCCACAGAGGCCTCTGCCCCTGCTCCTACTGGAACAACCCCCCAACCTTGGCCACCTCTGGATTTATCCCAGAACTTTCCCTGACCATGACCCATTCTGTGTCCCTCCTGCTCTCATACCTCAGTGAGACAGGGACCTTGGACTTCCCTGGGGAGTCAGTCCCTTTTCTACCCCAAGGCCAGTCCTATCACACGCTTCCTGAAGACACCCCCGTTCTCTCCCCAGTGTCCTTCCCCTGATCCACCCAAAAAGAGCCTTCAGCCCTCGGGTCCTGGTCTCGAAGAAAGCCACGTCACCCAGCACCCTGGACTTCAGTCCGGCTGTGCCGCGCGGGTGGCGTCTGCGCCTCTGAGGCCCCCGAGCCCACACTCCCAGGGCAGGTGTTTTTGCCCCCTAGACCCGGTCCTTGCAACCGTCCACTCCCAGCCCCTTCCTGGCTCTCAGCAGGGCTCCCTGCCCTCTGAGCCTGCAGGGAACGGCAAGGCCAGCGGCCTGGAGGGCACTGACTCCGCTCAGGGGATGCCACTCTCCCGAGGCCGCCGCGCCACCTGGCCCAGACCCGGTCCCTCAGGAAGGGCCTCCGAAGGGCCCAGCTCTCCCTCTTCCTGGGTAGCCCCACATCCCTTCGCGCCGGCCCCCCAGCCCGCTCTGCCTGTGCGGGGCGCGGACTCCCCGCTCTTCCCCAATGAGCTTCCTTGTTCAACTCCGGCAGTGACGTCCGCAGGGACAGGACCAAGCGTCTCTGGCTCTGAGACCAAGCCGCGCACGGCTTCCTTCTGGGTCTTCGCTACCTACTGGCCTATGGCCCGTTACGGTCTGCTCTGGCTTGGGCTTGCTCGGGACCACGAGAAATGTCCCCACAGCCACTCCAGTGACCTCTCCGCAACCGCCGCCGCCTCGCCCCTGTCTCAGCATGATTATGCTGGGCTCCCACCTGCTCCAGCCTCTCCCCTGCTTGGTTTGTGCCTGAGCCCCTCAGGGTTCTGCCCGTTCCCCTTCGCCCCTCCTGTCCTGCCCTCACCCTCCTTCCCCACTGTAATAACTCAAGCCTGGCTCCACAGGCCCAGACCCCAGACCTTTCACAGCGGCCCCTGGGCGGCCGGCTTCCCTACGGACAGCCCAGAGCTCCCCACCCGAGCCCTCCTCTTTCCCCAGAGCCGGTCCTTCCGCTCAGCCGGCACCACGCCGTCCCAAGAGCCCCCCACCCTCAGCACCTCCGTCCTGAGGCCGCCCTGGCTTCCCACTGCCTTCTCAGCTCGTGTCTTAGAGGACAGCCAGGAATGTATGGGGCCATTTCCTGGGATCTTCAGAGGCCAGTAGGGCACTCAGCCAGCTCTCTGCCCCTTGACTTCCCAGCTCATCTCAGCGCCCCCTGACTCAAGTGACAGACACACACAGCCTCTCAAACATCTCCCATTCTCCAGGCTCCCCCCAGGCTCCTCGCCCCCCATGCTCTTCTCTGCCCGTTGGCCCAGCGGACACCCAGGTTACCCCCGAACCCACTCTTTTTCCACTTGTTCCCTGAAGCCCTCATTAATTCAACCCCATCCCAACCCGGCCGTTCTGTCCCCTGCCTGACCTGGCCTGCTGCTCTCCTGGACAGGGACACCGGCCCGCTATCACTCCCCACCGCTCCATAGGCTCGTTCAGGGCAAGCTGGACAGGTCCCCCCCAACTCCGCCACGAGCCCTTCACCTGTCTCCAGCCCTAGCACAGGCCCACGCACCGCAGGGGCCCCTGCACACATGGCAGACGGCTCAGGCCTCCCAGGCCCCGGGTCCTGCTTTCTGCTCACCTGACCTCGGAGCTGGACTCCGAAGCAAGGGTCCTGCCCAGGGCCTCCTGCAGCTGGTGCCGCAGGAAACGCTCCTGCTCGGGGTCCTTCCTCCGAGCGGCGGCCAGCCAGAGCCGGGGGCCCTCCTCGTCACTGGAGTCCCTGCGAAAGCCTCCCATCAGGCGGCAGCTCCCAACGCCCCCACGGACAGGACTGCAGCCACCGCATCCCCCGGAGACTCACAGCTCCAGGTCCAGGCCCCCCTGCTGGGAGAGGGGCGCCGCACACACGGAGCAGGTGTTGTCCAGGAGGCGGAAGCAGGTGGGGCAGAAGAGACCTGCAAACACCAGGAGGGCAGGAAAGGGTGGCTGAGCTAGTCCACCCACCCCGCCACCAAGCTCCCCTCGCCTCCAGCCCTGCGGGGACTGTCCTCACAGAGGGACAAGCCAGGCACCGGCTGCAATGCCACTTGCGAACCAGTGGTTACCACCAACAGAATTAAGGCAAACACGGGGAAAATGAGCTTCTCGTGGTTCTCTGTAGACAAGAACATGTGGTCACGAAGGGAGGGGCCCAAAGCGTGAGTTCCAGAAGTCCACAGAGGAAGGACCATAGCCAATTGTCACACACGACCGTGGGGCGTCCCCACAGAGAGAGGTCCGTCCCGGGGTCTCACCTCGGCAGCCTGGGGTGCTGCAGGACACAAAGTTCTCCGTGTCCTCGGGGTCGTGGGGCTGCCCACAGCCCAGGCAATAATCCTGGAGTGGCCGGAAGTGGCTGAGCACGGGGCCCAGAACGTAGCACCTGGGGAGGAGTCCCAGACACTGACGCGCCAGCCCACTCCACACCCAACACTGCCCTCCAGCTGGGGCAGGCTTCCCCGCAGCCTGACCTCCACCCCTGTAGCTGCAACCTCTGGGTCCCGCCCGCCTCCTCCCCCCACTGCCCACTGCGCACAATTCTCATCCCTGTCTCCCTGTTCGCACACGGATCACAGTGAACGGGCACCCTCTGCAGCCAAACCTCGGGGACTCAAGGAGGACAGGGACCCACTGTGACCTCTGGCTCTTTTTCTGTCCCCTCTTGCCCCACTTCCGCAAGGGAGGACAGTGGGCCCACCGCCTGGACAGCTTCTGGAGGACACTTGCGTGGCCCTGGTCAG